CAAAAAAGCGCCGGACTTCATCTTCTTTGCGACTAGAGTTAAGATTAACAAACGAATTTTGGCACTGTGTATGGGAAATCACGAACTCTACATGCGTAGACGTAAACCTGATACGATTGATGTGCAGCAGATGAAGGTACTTTATTTTTCGCCAATGTCTGTATTGTATCGTGCATTTTATAGTTTATCCATCTTTCCTGTTTCTGGACATCTGTATAACGTTATTCGTTTATAATTCAAAGGCTCAAGCTAGGGAAGAGAAAATCGCAAAACAGCAACAGAGGGAGAAGCTACAGTTGGAAATAGCCGCAAGGGAACGTGCAGAGAAAAAACAACAAGAATACGAAGAAAGACTTAGAAATATGGCAGAAGAGATGGACAGGCGGCAAGCTGAACTAACCGAAGCTCAGGAAATGATCCGACGTTTAGAGGAACAGCTTAAACAATTACAAGCGGCTAAAGAGGAATTAGAAGATCGTCAAAAGGTAAATATACTAAAAAGGTGGAAAGAATGTTCACAGATGAAATTCGGATTTAGTAATCCTCAAATTTAGTAAAACGCAATTTATAATTAAGAAAGACGAAGAATTAACGATACTTTTTTGTTTTGTGCAGGAACTTACAGCCATGATGGAAAAACTTGAACTTTCACATGAAATGGAAGCGGCAGAACGTGCTAAACTTGAACAAGAAATAAGAGCTAAGCAAGAAGAAGTACAACGTATACAGTCCGAAGTGGAGGCTAAAGATGCAGAAGCAAGAAGACTGCAGGAAGAATTTGAAGCAGCCAAGTATTGAAATATATTTTGTTGTTTCATGTATTATAGACGTATTTAAAGTCTCATTCAAACTCGATAAATTTGTGCAAATAGGTTGAGGCAAGAAGAAGCCGACAGGGCATATCAGGCTAGTACAACACCGCATCATCATCACGTTGAAGAGAACGAAGAAGGTGAAGAGGAAGGTGAAGATGAGGTTCCTCAGGGTGATGTTACTAAAGATCTTGCAACTGATGAATCGATAATCGATCCTGTCGAAGAACGGCGCACCTTAGCCGAGAGAAATGAACGTCTTCATGACCAACTCAAGGTACTTGTTCTTTTTCTTATGTTTATGTAGACCTATGCATTGTGTATGTGTTCGAACAAAAATAATATGTTTCAGGCATTGAAGCAAGATTTAGCACAGTCACGCGATGAGTCGAAGGAAACTGTTATGGATAAAATTCACAGAGAAAACGTCCGCCAGGGACGTGACAAATATAAAACACTTCGTGAGATTCGCAAGGGCAATACTAAGCGTCGCGTTGATCAATTTGAGAATATGTAAATTATGTATTCGTTTGTCTATTTGTCTATTTGTCTGTCCATTTCAACCTGCCTTTAAATTCTCTTTCAATTTTGTGTTCACGTGGACTCAGTAATCACTTATTATGTGTCAGGAATGTACAGATTCTCTGATCGATCTGTACAAGGACATTTTTTAAAACTTGTCAGATATATCGTTTTATAATATTTTTTTGAGATGCTCCGAGGAACAAGTCACCTCCAATTTGCAACGATGTAAAGTTTATAACACGTAATGCTATTTTTCGACGTTGATTCTATACTCTCGAATACAGCTAAGTATAAAAACTCTCATGATTGGCAAGGAACGCGACGAGCGACCAACTTATGCCGTCTTCCATATATGCTTCCACATTGACCGCTATTAAGTAACTTTTTGTGAAAAAGGATATTTATATATATTTTTTTTTACCATGAGTATATTTTCTTGCTGTTTTAGCTATGAAATATTTAACATTAATTCATAATAATAACTTCGTTGTTTTAGCTATGTCCTTAGCTAAGGTTGTTTCTTTTTTTTTAACGATTGCCTCCTCTGCTAAAATAACAAGAAAATCTGTTACATAATTTGTGAATATTATTTTAATTTTGTTCAAGCATTACATATGAATTTCTGAACACCGACACGCCAGTATTTTCTTTCTCGAAGTATTACTGTCGGTCACTGAGCGTATCGCCGCATATGTTGATTTTTGTTTACCGGTTATCCTTTTTGTCGCGGTCCTTATCACGTCGTCGCATATAGTCCGTCCTTGATAAGGATTTGTCTGATGAATATTTCGTATAGATATTTGCGTCATCTTTCGCTTTTATTGATGACCTAAGATTGATTTTATCATCAGCGGTTGCTATAAATTTACTATATACTCGTAACTTCTACTTTTATCCTGATTTATAATTTTGTTTGTAACACGAGTTATCTAAATAGTAGACGAATTTATATTTTTTAGTGGTGTAGAATGTTTAGAATTTGTTTGCAGTGGGTTACAAATAACAACCAAATATTGGCCTAAAATAGATTGATAATGTACACGCGACCGCTTGATGTATGAAACATGAAATCAGTAACATCCGTCTTTACGATAAATATAGGAAAGTTGAGTACCACGTACGAACTATTTGCAAAACGTGCGAACGAATTTCAACTAATAATTTTATATTGAACACACTCGTGGCCTTTATTGATATACATATATTGAAATACTAGATACTAATATTCAATAATATAATATAGGAAAACGTAGGGATATCGCGTGACTCTTTGTATTGCATACCTTCAACATAAGGTAATTGCGCGGTTCCTATGAAAAGGATAGGTATCAAGATTCTTGAAAGCATGAAAGAATGAATGTGAGAGAGAATGGGACAATAAAGAATAACGTACGAAAGGTTGAATGCTAGAAGAATATATAGAGTATGTGGCAGTCTGGTACGCCATATAAATTTTAAAACAGTCGTTTTCTTTTGTTCGTTTTTTTTTTCTTGAAAAAAAAAAAGATTGTACGGTACATCGATGAAATTAATTAAAACTGAAGGGAACGAAGGTATAATAATCTCCAAATGCTGCCAATTTTTGACGGAATGCAAACAAAGAGCGTGACTATGAAATGAGATACAATCTTTGCATTAATTAAGTAGGGAAGATGATGATAACGTTAAAAAACACTAATCACTGTATCGGCATTTATACTTTATCATCATCACATGTTACAATAAACATGAAGGGAAAAAGTACAGGAAAAATAAGGATAGATATTTTTTGATTATATTTAATACTACAATTTACAAATTAGTAGTGTTATTATTATTATTATTATTATTATTATTATTATTATTATATTATTATTATTATTATAATATTTACAATCTAGCAGCGTTATTATTATTGAAATAATATTACATGAAAAAGCAACGTATTTTATAGTCAGTCTATTTGTACTCTTAAGGAAATTATCAAATTTGCATCGCGATTACTAAATATTTCATACGATGCAACGTCATGTTCTAATATTCAACGATGTAGACGAATACCATTTTTATAAAAATTTACCTGGATATTCTTCCCCATTAAACACTTGGTAAGAAAGCTATTTTTGAGACATTCCAAAAATTTCGTGTAAAATGTTTCTTGTCTACGTTGGGGTTTTTCAATTACACACGGATTTGTAATAACTTTAAACTACAAAGCATGGCCTTTTTCTATACACGTTTAGGATGTACTTAAGTAAGTATACTTATTTGAAAGAATGACATATTTTTATATATATAATATATATCATTCATTCACACATAAGAAAGTCGATGAAAAACCCTAACGTGGATTTATAAACGATCTATGTTCCTTATGAAGGTAATGGATACGAGATCATTTCTAACGTTTTTCCACGTGTAATAACTGTAAATATGTAAATTACCTTGCTAAACTTTTGGTTTGAAATGCGATATGTATAAATTGGTATTGTATGCCTTCATGAGGTCATTAACAAAGATTAATTTACACCTACATCTATGGTGCGCATCGCGTTCAACGTATCTCGGTGCTACAATTTTTCTTTGTGACATTCAAGCGTGTATAAGTAAAATAGCCGTAAATGCATTTCTGCTTTTTACGAAATTTTTGTAACTCTGGATGTTTGACGGTACTTTCTAACGAAATAATCGAGTTCGATCAAAAATTATATTTGAATGTTTCATTTTTATATTTCAAAAAGGATCTTCGTAGCAGTATTATTGAATTCTTGAAACAGGAACACACATAAAACACACAAGGTACGATCACGGAGACGCATAGACATTATATTTTATTGAAAACAATATTATTTGTTGGTGCGAGGATATATGAAAATCACTTGTACTTTGCGGAGAAAGTTAGACATTGTTTAAATAAAAAAAATCATATCATAGTTGTTAAATAAATTATTATTGTATCCTTTGTGTGCAATTGTAGTTTTTTTTTCAAGTATATGTTAATCACGTTTATTTTGAATCTGTTGTCTCTGAACAGCTTTGCTTCATTATAGTGACAACCTGCTTTTCGGCAAAGGCGAGTAGAAATACTAAATTACACGTTTCTCTGTATTTAAATTACTTTCCTAAGTAAAGTGGTCGCATTACGGTACTAATACAATTGTCTTTTCAGGAGATCTATTAATAATTATTTGTTATAAATAATGGGATATACAGAGTGTGCCCCAGTCGAGGTGACCATACTAAATAATTCATGCTGATATTTTCCGAAATTTCAAGGCCATCAATGGTTTCTTTAAACGGGTTGGAGTATTTTCATTATTATAATATTGTAGCTGATAAGAAGATAAATTCGAATATGTATAACACGAAAATGTTATTCGTAAACACTTAAAACTATAAAAGTGAAAAATATATAAATTAGTAAGGAAAATAGCAATTAAACAGAAGGACGTCTAAGGAAAAAAGGGAGGGGACTGGAGCCGTGGACCTCAACATCTATGGAGCTTCATTTCTTCTAAATACTAAAATAAATTTGCACGCGTATTTAAAAATAAAAATTCTTATTTCCATTTCCAACGTGTGTTTAGTAAATCTGTTTCAAAATTACCCGCTCTATCACGTGATTATTTCATTCACCAAATGTGTTTCGTATTCCGAACGGCAGCAGCGCAAGTGTATTGCACCTGCGCCAAGTCGTTCAGTTAACGTGGGTTAACGTCGGCAGCGCTGCATGAGAATGTGATATGTTTCTTATTTGCGAAGAATGTTGGGTTACGATAGACAAAGCCATGCTACGAAAAATCTCTTCTCAGACTCTTCCGACGATGATACCGGTTACGTTAGGTGAGTTTTACATATTACACAATGTACACGTGGTTCGTGAAAATTTCGTTTAATACAAAAATAGCACCGGCTCTCGATTCGTAGTCGGAGTGGTGGCCACAACTTTGTTTACATGTCATCGAACATTTACTCGATTTTTAACGCTCCAAAAGTAGACCGCCGGTATATTTGTACAACGAACCACGAAAAGGAGTGCTTACACGCTGGCCGCTCGTGCGAAACGAATGTCGTTTTTGGAGTGACGACATTTATTGAATTTCCAATGGCACTTAATTTTATAGTTTGGCATTTGTTCGTGGCAGAGTGACAGTGTTATGCGTTTACGACGACCGCGGATGATACAGAACGAGGAAACGATTGAATGTGTTTATCAGAGAACTATTTGATCCTATGCAAATAGTGCAAAGTATTATGCTGGTTAGTTTGATACGATACGACACCTGTTATACGGAACTGTAAGATCTAATATAGAATTAATTATTCCTACGTTATATGATTAAATAGTTATCGAATACGCATATTCCAGTCACACTGTCTTACGTGGAGTGTTTTTCTAAACGTATACGAAGCGCATTGTTAATTTTATGTTTAACATTCTTACGCATATCTGTGCCATGTTTCGTGTTATTTATCGTCCGAAGTGTTTGGAAATTTTTAATAGAAGATAGAAACACTCATAGCGATATTTATTATTGATCCGTTTCTGCACGACGATAAATTGAATTCAATAATAATACGATATTGTCTATAAGATAAGATTACGATTTATCTGTTTGTTTATTTTTATAAGTTTATAAGTTTTTTAATTACATGTTTTATATACATAAGTCCAAATAGAGATAAGAGAAAGAAGGAGAAGTAAGAAACGTGGGCATGAAATTGAACATAATGTAAATATATGATATTTAATTCATTGTTATTAGTATTTCAATAGATGGTTATTTTTTACCAAGTATATATCAAATTAATGCAGTCAATTCGTTATGACTATAAATAACGATATTAGGAATTCATTTTAAATTCTCCAATTTCAATAACTCTGATCAATATTCCCTATGTACTATGGTATTATCTCAAAACAAAGACATGATCAAAAATCGACTGATAATCCTGGTTGACGGTTGAAGTAGATTTCTATTTGAAAAATGAAAGACAATAAGTTAGTGGTTAGCGGTCAGCGATCAGTGGACAGGGATGATCAACCACAGTCATCCTTGATCCATGAACGACTATGTACACACGCAACTTCGAGAGATCTACAATATCGGTCGAAGGATCCGCGAAGACTCTTCGCTGTCGAAGAAGAGAGGAAAGGCTAAACTTCGAATGCATCCATCGAGCAAAGAATTACCCAAACATTAATATTAGAGTAAAATCGTATTCCTCACAATTTCTTCAACAAGTATTGTTAATAATTAATTGAACTATTGTCAGAAATTAATTTATAGTTATTACAACCAATAGATATCAAAATATAGACAAATTTCTCACGATTAATGTCTTCAATGAATATTTAAGCGACTAACAAACATTACTGTATACATCGTAAATGTTTAATTAACGATATAAATTTTAACTGCGTCTCGAAGTTCCAGATTGTTATTGCAATGTTTATTTAGA